ACACTGGTTCCTGCCCGTTCAACATAGACAGGTGACACCTTGCTTCTCCCTGGGAGTACACACTGGTTCCTGCCCGTTCAACAGAGACAGGTGCTATGAAGCATGGGCTCTTCTAGCAGACGTCTGAGGAGGTCCTATGTGTCACAGGGTCCAGGTGAAGAAGCTGAGCCCTGCACCCTGCTAGGGTAGAACCACTGCCCGGCTGGGTTTGCATTTCAAATGACATTTGTCAGTTAGTGAAACCCAGTGTGGGGCTGGATGTGCCTCTCTTCCGGCTTTGTGAAGTGGGCTGACGTCTCTGGGAAGGAGCTACAAGTAGTGTGAGTGTGTGGGAAGGACCTGATACCCACCACCTCTTCCCGGCTTCCCTAGGCAACTGGGAAGAGCATTGACTTCTAGCTCATCAATCAGGCTCATCCCTCTTGAAGAATGGTACCTATTTACCCCAGTGCCTGTTTCTGGGGGGAAGAAGACAGCTATGTGTCAGCTTCCTGTCCAGTGAAGCAGCAGACAAGATATTGCTGACTCTCCTGATATCACAATCTCTTGACAACTCAATGACTTCCTTGTTGCCTTCCTGGGGGAGTCCCTGGCTTTCTCCTGCCCTTCTTGGGGAGTCCCCATCTTCCTCCTGGTCTCCTTGGGGGAGGTCCCCATCTTCTGCCTGGCCTTCTTTTGGAGCCCACAGTAATGGAAGCTGGCGGCAATCTGATCCCGTGTCCTGTGCAGAGTGCAGCTGGCTCTGGCTCCTGAAGCCTCCAGCCATAGCTACTGGAATCCAGCACCTGGTGTGAGCTATTTCTGGCTTTTCTCCTGACAACTTCAGTGTCAACTTAGGGTTTCCAGATCTGAAAGAGACGGAAGAGAATCACAAGGCTTGTCACTGTCCCCAAACCCAGCAGCTGTTCCTCCCCGTCGGGTCCTCCCCTCTTGCTTTCCTCATAGTTTCGACCCACCCCCGCAGCATGTCCCTCCCGGACACACTACAGGCCGCAGCTGGTTTCTTTTACCTTTTTACCGTTTTTTGCAGGGCTGAGCTGACGTCACCCCCGCACAGCTGCTGGAACACACCTCTAATCCAGTTTCAGAGAGAAACCCATCACTATCACTGACACCATTTGCTAATTGATATGAATTGAGGACTCCGTTTGTGCTAGGCCCTGCCCGTTATGAATACTTGACATGTGCTCATTCTGCAGTAAGGGGGTCCTAAAGAACAGTGAAAAATCCAGGGTTCAGAGGGGCTAAGTAACATGCCCAAGTAACTCAAGTGCTAACGGGTGACGGTCTTCTCCAGAAGCTCTTTCAATTCCTGGAGCTACGGAGACTGCCTCCTAAGGTCCTGATATAGACACTGGCTGACTCTTCACCCCCTCCAGGCCCTCCTATATCTTACAGCGTATGACAGCCTCCTTGACTTGGTAAAAGCCACCATCCTGGCCTCTGCCGTCCACATAGTACATGAATCGAAGTTCCGGCGGGTAGGCGGCTCTGGTCAGGCCGGATAGCAGGGGGATGGTGCAACCCTCCGCCCCCGGGGCCTCCGTCAGGGCCTGCAGCATCTGGTACTTGCACCAGGGGTCCCGAAGGAAGCCTGGGGTGATGAGTAGCACGTGGCAGTGACTACTACTCAGTGCCTGGCATAGCTCAGAAACAATGGCGCCCCCTGGAGTTGCATCCCGAAGCTGCAGGAAGCAGCGCAGGCTGGCCTTGCTACTACTCTCCAAGTAGGAGACCAGCGCCTGGGCGGCCTCCAGGTCCTCCTCACTGTGGCATACGCAGACATCATAGTCTTTGCTCCAGCGGCCACTGCTGCTGCTGGGGTCCATGTGTGTTGGTTGCAGGGTAGGAGACAATCCTGAGCTGCGGCTCGGGTGTGAGCTGCAGCTAGGGGGTGAGCTGCGGCTTGGGGGTGGGAGACCGTCCTGTGTGGCTGTCTGTGAGCCATCACTGGGGTGGCTTTCCTGGGAGACCGGCATCTTCTTGGGCTTCTTCAACAGAGTCTGCCTGAGCCAGTCTACAGGGAGGAAAGACGGAGCTGAGATTTGCTGCCTGCAAGCTGAAGCCCCTCCCCCAAAGACAATGGGTGGGACTCTGCCAGCTTCACTTTGCCCTCTGTCCTGCTGCTAGCCTGCTGTTGGGCACACCCCTCAGGTCTTGCCTGAGAGTTCCTGCTGTCTTTAAAGGTTCTCCAATACTGAGGGAACCCGAATCCTGTCCAAGTGTTTTACCAGCCCAATTAAGAAGGGCGGCCTTAATGGAGTCGCCATGGTGAGGTAGTGTTTGTTGTGGCCTAGCTACCCAGGAGGGGTAGTTCAAGGCCAGGTTGAAAAAAACAGTGAGTTTTTTTTTAAAAAATAAAGTAAAATTGGCTGTGCATGGTGACCCATGCCTTTAATCCTGGGAGGCAGAGTTCGAGGCCAGCCTGGTCTACATAGTGAGTTTCAGGCCAGCCAGGGCTACATAGTGAGACCCTCTCTGAAAAATAAAATAAAATTTTAAATTAGAATAAAACAATTTATTGAATTATAAATTAATAATTTAATAATAAAATGAAATATAGATGGCCTTGTTCTGTTGTAGGTCATTTGATATCTGCTATCCAGAGCCCACTTGGATCGGAAGGCTCTGTAACCAGAGTAGTCAACTGCCTGTCTAAGTGGACATCTACAGATAAGTATTAATCAGGCCCAAGGCCTCACTGCAACCCTGAGAGGAGATGAACTGAGATAAGGTAAGAATGGGAAGGGCCAGGGAAGATGGGTACAGTGATATATGCCTGTAATCCCACAACTTGGGACATAGAATCGGAGGATCAGAGGTTCAGGGTCAACCTCAACTACAATGGCAAGTTCAAGGCAGCATTGGTATGGTTACTCATACTAATGAGTAATCATAAAAGAAGAAAAAGGTCCCGGGCACTGGACTGTCCTGCTGTTCAGAGGCCAAGGGCTATTAGAGCTCCCAGGTGACACAGAGCTTGGTACTTCAGAAGCCCCATGTGCCAGGCCCCAGATGTGACTGTAGACCTGCCATACTGCTTGCTCTAAGACCTTATGCAAACTGGCCTAGGTCTCCATTGCCTCAGCTATAAAATGAGTTTGTTTAGTTCCTGAAGATAAATTGTAAGTACTCCACATTATTAAAACACAGCCGTACTGGGGATTGTTTCATTTTTTCTTTCCTGTTTCCTTTCTTTGAACAGTTCTGGGAAAGGATTCAGATGACAAGACACACCATGTTCAGCATTCAGCACAATGGTTTGCAGACCAAGCAGGCCAGAAAACATGTGAAACCAAGGTCTGCCGAATCCATCCCACATCCCTTATTCCCCCCTCTCCATGACGCTCTGGGTCATCTCACCGGCAGGCAGCTCTGTCCCCAACACCAGCCTTTCTGCATCTCTCCTCTGAGTCTGGACAAGTCAGCCTTCTCACCTCCCCAGCAGACTGGGGATTACTCTCTCAGGAACCAGAGCATAACTAGGAGACAGGCTCCACTCACCAGCTATCTTGTCTCGAGGCTTCTTGGACTGTGCAGGAGAGGCTGGGACAGAGGACGATGAAGCCATAGTGCAGGCCTCCAAACTAACCCTGGGAGAGCAGGCATCGGGGGAGTGGCAGGAGGGGACAGAGCCATGGAACAGCCATCCTGCCAGGGACAGAGAATCACAAAAACCGTGCTTACCTACCTGGAAGTTCTGCTTTTCTCCTAGTCCCTAATGACGCCGTTTCTACATAGGTTCATGGGACCAGGGAAATGACGCAGATCTGTGACATGTGACCAGACTTACAAGGTACAAACTTGGTCGAGTGACTGTTCTCTGCTTCACTTGGCCAGCGGTGCGTTTGGGATCTGGGAAAACAGAGAGAAGACAGGCAGCTCTTTAGAAGGACTTCCTGTGTCCATGCTGAATTGGGAGAAGCACTGGTCATTTGGACAGGTGGATGAGTGCTAAGCAGTAGGAGTACTTGAAGCAAGTCTTACATTTCCTCTGTGTGTCTTCCCCTAACCCCATCCACCCACTCACCTAGCCCTTACCCCTCAGCTAAGGAACCAATGTCATAAAATGGTGACGGCTGCTGGCTACACACAGATTTCATGGATTTTCACCTCATGCTGACCGTGGCCTTCAACAGTCTTTCCAGGCTTTGGTGTCTCCATCTGTGATGCTGGAAACTGCAACTCAGCATTACCATGCGAATAACATGAAGGAATTTATGTAATGTACTAACAGTACCTCGTGTATAAAAAATTGTTAAGAAAGCATTGTGGATCAGTATGTTCTTATCCAGATGTGGTAGCATACACCTGTGGTCTCAGGTACACAGGAGACTGAGGCAGGTAGATTACTTGTATTTATGAGTTTAGATCAGCTTCAGAAATCTATTGAGACCCTAATCTTTTTTTGTTTGTTTGGTTGGTTTTTATGGTTTGTTTTTTGGGTTTAGCTTTGGTGCATGTCCTGGAACTTGATCTGTAGATCAGGCTGGCCTTGAATTCACAGAGATCCACCTGCCTCTGCCTCTCGAGTGCTGGGATTACAGATGTGCACCAGCAGCAGTTTTGAGACCCTATCTTAAAAGAAAACGAACAGGAGGGTGTGGTGGTACACACGTGTAATCCCAGCACTCACAGGAGGACTGCTGTGAATTCAGGCCAGCTTGGGCTAGCTACCTAGTGAGTTCCAGGCTACCTAGGGATGTATAGTGAGGCATTGTCTCCAATAATCTAGCTATGGGAGGGAACTTAGTCCTTAGTACTTCTATTTTTATTTTTTAACTTATTATTTATTTTTTTGAGACAAGGTTTCTCTGTGTACTCCTGGCTGTCTTGGGGACTCACTCTGTAAACCAGACTGGCCTAGAACTCACAGAGACCCACCTGCCTCTGCCTCCTAAGTGCTGGGATTAAGGGTGGCATTGCCTGGCAGTCCTTAGTACTTTTAAAACCCACTCCTTTTACGAGTTTATCCCTTAGTCCTAAATTATTTTAAAGTGTGTGTGTGTGTGTGTGTGTGTGTGTGTGTGTGTGTGTGTGTGTG